GACTCAGGTCACACAGGCCATGGATGGCAGATGCAGAGCACAAGAGGTCTGTCTACAGCCACAGCACCCACCTCTCCACCCTGGAGGCCTTATGAGGTGTCTGTGGACAGGAGAAAAGTGCAGGTTCAGGTACTTTAATCTTAGGCTTTGGCAGCTTGGAGAGGGTCTCTGGTCCAGGAAGGGAAAGCAAATGCACAAGTAGCTTTTACTCTTGACCTAAGTCACCTGCCTCAACAGACTTCCAGGCATCTCCACCACCATTTCTATCGGACTTGAAATCATTTTTCCTGGTGTCACCAAGTGTCACTCCTACTGGGGGACGAAGGAGAGAATTTAGCATCTGCCACTACATTTCGCAGCCAGCACAGGGACTAACGTGCGGACAGAGTTTACTACTGTGAAGAAAGAGGAAAGGAATGAGGAATGAATGAATGAGTGATGGGGCAGAGATGAATGAATGATTGACCTACGAAATACATATTAGAACCTGCGTACATAGTTGTAGGAGGTCTGACCTTACCTGTTTCCTGTCCTTCCAGGAAACTGAGACTATTGTTCAATCCCTCTACCTCCGGCTCATAAGTCACCTGTAACACTCAGAGCTTGGTCTAAGCATGTGAGGATCCTGGGGTTAGAGCTCCTTGTTTTACAGATGAGAGAAACCTCCGACTCACCCCCTGATCAGTTCTGTTCCCACCAGAACCCACAGGTCTCTGTTCAGGAGTCACTAGTTTCAAACCAATGTAAACATCTGCCTTTGTTCATAATGTGACCTTGTAGCACTCAGAGCTTGGTCTAAGACTCCATCATGCTCTGTAGTGAAACATTCCTTTAGGAATTGGTCTTAGATCCTGGGTGTTAATTGCAAATGTCCCATCGGGATGAAAGTGTCACAATTTGTTATCCCAGATCCATCAACCCATCAGGCCAGAAGTGACAGCAAGTTCCTGCTTCCTACCTTCTGCCAGGTAGATGTGCATTGTAGAACATCCACCTCCATTTCAGGAAGGATCTCTGCATGGTCCTCACCTGTATGAGAAGGACATTGAACCTCAAAGACAGGAAAAAGATGCTGTTCCAAATCCTGTCTGCACTGGCCACTCTCAAAGATCATGCCTTTAACACTTGCTCAGTAAACACATGAGATGCTGGAATTTTTAGAGAGAATGTCGTGTTCATGATGCACCTCATGGCCTTGTGCATGCTAAGCAAGAACTCTTCCACTAATCTCCCAAGTGCTGATTGAGACATATTTCATAGAGGTTATAGCAGAGATCAGAGAGAAATTATATCCTTTACAGAGCAGAAATATTTCTTCCTTTTGATGATGTCACATGAAGCTGGATGTGTTAGCTCCAGCTCGCCCCGTCGTATCCCCACCAAGCTCACTTTGCCATGCAGGGACAAACCTCAGCCTCTCTTGCCCATCAGCAGTCATTTCTAAGGAGAGTCTCCTGGTCCACCTGGCAGTGAGGAGTAACTTATGTATCCTGTCCTCCTTCATCCCAGAGCACGTTTTCTGTATTGATGGTGTACAAAATAGAGAAAAAATACAAGAGAAAAATAACAATTTAGTCATAAATAAAGCCAGCATGGTGATGACTGCATGTAACCACAGGATAAAATAAGAGAGTAGCGTGAGCATGAGGCCAGCCTGTGTCACATAGTGAGACCCTGTCTCCAAGAAATGTCATTCACGCAAGAAACAGACATTCAAAGCACTTAAGAGCTTAGGCTCCAAATCAACCCTCAGAATCCAGGATGATTTGGCTCTAAGGACCCCACAGATAACCATATCTGTGGACGCTCTGAATCCCCCTATGGCAGATGTCAGAGTCATTGGTTGTCAGGCTCCTGTTGATGGACTCACACTGAGGGACACTTGGGCACACAAACTTGACTCAGTAGGCATTAACACGTATCAAAGAAGATATGAAATTAGGCCGAGGGCTATGTTAGTGTGCAAATGTGGCAGGGAGTCTAAATATGATTAAGATATATGAAATGCATGGAGGGTCAATAAAAATTTAATGGTAATAATAATAATAAAGATTGAAGAGTCTTTGCATGTAACTGTGCACATCCTCCCAGACCGTTAAATCATCTCTAGATTTTTTCTAATACCTAATGTAAATGCTGCATTGGTACTAGTTTTATTGTATGAAAGAAGGAATTAGACATGAGAGAAGGTTATCTTTTTCTCACTGTGTACAGAATTTTTACCTGAATACTTTGTTCGGTAATTTTTTTTTTTACCATAGGTTGAAAATCTGTGGATACAGAGGCTGACTTTTTAAAAAAATATTTTATTTTATTTTATGTGTATGCTTGTATTGTCTGCATGTAAGTACGTGTACCCATGTCGTGCAATGCCCACGGAAGACAGAAGAGGCTTTCAGATCCCCTGGAACTGGAGTTACTGATCGTTGTTAGCTGCATGTGGGTGCTGGGATTCGAACATGGGTCTTCTGCAAGAACAGTCAGTGTTCTTAACCACTGGGCCATCTCTCCAGCCCCCTGTCTTAACAGTTTTGGATGTGTAGTAAACTAATATATAAGATATGCCATTTTGAACTGTAGGGTGAGAGGCATCCAGCACATTCAAATTGTTTTGTAACCACTGAAATGATCTGTTTCCAAAACTTCCTCTCACCCTATCCCACACCCTAGAGCTCTTTGTGACCAGCTTTCTACTTCTGTCTCTGTGCATGTGACAGTTCTAGGCCTCACAGTGATGTGGATTCGTAACATCTTTGTGCTTTTCTCCAGATTTACTTCACTTTGCCTATCGACAAATGTTCATCCTGTGTCATGGGTCAGAATTTCATTTAGTTTTTAAGACTGTTATCGTCCGTGTCATTCTATGCCATGACTGCACCGCTGTGGACCTGGGTCTTCTTTGCCCATTTATTTATCCCCTCAGTGGGCTTTGGGTTGTTTCTAACTTTCGGCCTTTCTGAGCAATGCTGTCCTGAAGTATAATCAGATATCTGTTCATAGCCTCCATTTCAGTTTTTGTGGACATCAACCCAGATGAAGAATTACTCTTGAATGTCCTTAATTTTTGAGGAATCAGTACTATGCTTCGCAGTTATATTTCATACATCCATTTAGCTTGGGACGAGGAATCCAATTTCCTTAACATCTTGAAAAATACTTGTTTTCTTTTCATTTCAATCATTGAATTGATTCATTTCAATGATATCTGTGTCAATGAATGTGTGGTGGGAACTCACTGTGATTATGATTTCTGTTTCCTTAATGAATGATATATTTTCTTTGAACAACTTTCCATACACTTCTTGGCCAAAGAATTACTCTGGAATTCGGTAGAACAATGCTTCTAGAAAAAATGAATTCTGTCTTTCAGGGTAGCTAGCAAAAATCAATATTTTCAACATGATAAATGAGGAGACGGACATACCAACTGCTGTGACGTGACCAGATATATATACTAAAATTTCATACTGCACTGCACAAGCATATCTCTTTATTATGTGTTGACTAATTTTTAACTTAATATTTTGACAGTACACACGGACATTTCTGGGATTCTCATTCTATCCATTCCTCTACAGGCTTTATCTCCATCACACACAGTTCTGCCTATAGCATCTTTATACTAAATTATGAAATCAGGAAGTATGTATTCTAACCTTATTTTTCAGTTTCAAGATTCTGTCAGCTAATTGGTGGTCCCTTGAGATTCCACAAGAGTCCTAGAATAGATTTTTCTAATTCTGCACAAAATACCACTGCCATTTTGATAGAATTGACACTGAATCTACAGATCGCTACCCAGTAATATTATCATCTTTAAAAACTTAAGTCTTCTTTAGGCAGATGGCATGTGCCCATAATTCCAGTTACATAGGATGCTGAGACAGGAAGATCACAAGTTCTAAGCGTACCTGGTCTACATAGGAAATCCAAGAATAACTTAGTGACTCCCTGCAGCAAAATGAAAATAAAAAGCTGAGGGGCTGGTGCCAGGGGTTCGAACCAGCAACCCCCGCGCAGTGATGATTTGGGATGAGTAAATGCGCTGTTCGCCAGCCCATGCCGCCCCCAATACCGGGAACACTCAGGCGCAAAGGGGAGCCTCGTCAAGCAGGGACTCATTTATTGCAGGTGTTACAGAGCTTATAAA